GAAGAATATTTTGATCTCCAATAGGTTTTCATCCCTAACCCTAACCACACACACACACACACACACACACACACACACACACACACACACACACACACGGAGAGCGATAGACAATGAGCCCTGTCTATCTTCTGTTTGTTTATGTCTTTCTAAGTGTACTGGGAGACTCTTTGGTAAAAGGAGCAGGCACATGAAGCTTTTCAAAAGCAAAATGGTTATTTAACACAAACCTTAAAGAGCATTAAGATTTCTATAAACCCAGTGTGGATGGCCGTACACAATCTGACCCCCTTACATGTGATAATATAATTGCGGCATAGTGATTTTTTTTGGCAGGGAAAGACAGAGCGTTGGGCCAAGACCTACTGTATCTTTGCTTCTTCAGGATGTGGGAGGCTTCTTTAAAACAGGTGTTTGATAGCAGCTTATTTTTCATCCTCAAAGCAGAGTCGTTATTATCTTAATTATAGACATTTACACGTCTAGTAGGTACACTGAGCACATTCCTCCCCAATACAACGGAGGGCTCTCCCAGGCTCAAAGTGCAGCTCCCACTCCAGTGTCATCAAGTTGAAATCAGTGTCAGACATCCAGACACACCAGCAGCGGCACACTCCAGAACAAACTGTATATCTCTTTCTCTCTCCTGTTGTCTTTATCCATTTCATCCCTCTAGTGATTTAACAACACATTGTGCACATTCATAGAAAGCATTGTGTATCTTCACCTTATGTTGAGAAATGTATTATTTGGATAACATATAAAGGGTTAGGGTTATATTCATGTTGAAGTTTGAAAATGGGAAAAAAGGCAGTTTTGCCAACCATTCAGATTCGAGACAGGGAACGTTGTGTTTATCTGTGTGTTATTACAATACATTTTTATGACAAAATAGAAGTGCCCAGGAAGAATACCCAAAACAAGATAAATCACCACATTATCCCGTGAGCATGTATTTAGATGTGAACGTTTAGGGTGATAAAATGAGAGCGGCCGCTTGACCTTGACGACACAGAAGTGACATATTGGGGTGATTTGGGGGAGCTGGCTGAGCTGTTCTGCTCCAGTAGGCCGATGTGGCTGATTGGAGGCTCTGCGTTATTGCTGGTGTGACTTGAAGGCAGACCAGGCTGAGTGAGGAAAACACCCTGGACGTCTTCCAAGCCCATATTTTCCTGCACTTCCTGTCGTAGGCTAACAAGCAGGAAATGATTCGTCTTCCCCTTCTCCATCTGCATCTGTGTTTGTAGCACAACAGCATTATTGAAAGGTGACAATGTCTGCACCGTGTGTGTGTGTGTGTGTGTGTTTGAA